TTATCTCACTTTCTCGTCCATAGTGAAATTTGCAAAATGGTTCAGGCAATGCCCAATGTAAACATACGGAAAAAGGCAAAAAGGCATCAAATGGGCAAAAAGGCACGCAAAAAGGCAATTCGGCATTGAAACGGGCAAAACGGCAAAAAGGCATGAATTTTTTCCCAAAAAGGCGCCTTTTTGCATACTCTGATCCTGGCGCCCTCTTTTCCCACGTTACAAAAATCCCCGCATGTCCCAAAACCTTCCCCCACCACGTATGTATGTCTGTATCATACCTGTGCAAGTGAATCTCACTTCACTCAACTTCACTCATTTCCACCTCGAGGCAAATTGCCCTTCACTCCCCTCACTCGCGTGAAGGAAGGCTGAGTGAGGCTTCACTCACTGATGAATAATGAATCTCACTCCTTCACTCCCTTCACTCCCTCATTCGCTTCACGTCACTCAATCCCCTCACTCATCACTGATCTATGTACTTCCTTCACTCTTTCGTTCTTTCAATTCAGTCCCTGGTGTCATCATAATTAATATATTTTGGCGCCATCTAGTGGGGTAAGGTGAGGCTGCACTGGGGCAATGTGAGATTCGACTGGGGCAATGTGAGACTGGGCTGGGGCAATGTGAGACTGGGTTGGGGCAACGTGAGACTCGGTTGGTGCAACGTGAGATTAGACTGGGGCACGATGAAAATTGCACGTGGTAATATGAGACGGTACTATATTAATATTGCGACGCTTATTTAAGTATGTAAACTAATTATCTACCCTATATTCCTTCACCCTTCTTCCCCGGAAGAGAAGGAGTGAGAGACGTGAAGGAGATGAAGCCTTCATCTCCTTCACCCTTCATTCCACTCATTTCTGATTTGGGCCTCCCTCACTCACCTTCACTCACTCGATCCAAGTTTTCAACTCCCTCACTCAGCTTCACTCTCCTTCACTCCTTCATCGTGAATGAAGCTTCAATTTAGGCAAATTGAGTGAAGCTGCACAGGTATGGTCTGTATGCTTACCCCTCCTCTATCCCGCCATCTGACAACAGAGCTGTAATCGTGTAACTCAAAATCTGCTCATAAAACCAAATTTGCATTGATTTCGTAAATTTCAAAAAGGTGAATCCTAGAACCCCACAGTCAAAACATAACGGCCTGATAGCGCTTAGTCTTCTCCGGAGATACTTTCGGTCGCACGAATCCTTCAAATTTCTCCAACATTTTACCCTGAATCTAACCGACGTTTCATTTATTCGAATACCAAAAGGTAACAAAGTGTCGATAATAAGCGGAATTAGCACGGTTACCGAGGGAAAAAAGAGGTAAAGTGGCATCGGTATAAGGCCATACAGTTTGACGGACATGAAATTAAACAGCACGCACAAAACTAGACCCAACATCATTAAAATGGCTGAAATCATGGCGAAAAAATCAGCCACGTGCTGCAGCGCTACTGCTAATTGCAAATATCTTCTAATCAGGAGGTCAGCCTTACGTCTGGAAAATTTGACTAAAAATCCCCATAAGTCTAACTCATGGATTGCATCCAGGAACAATATTGAGGACAGTGTTATCATGCAAATCAATAAGGCGAAGAGGCGCGCGATTTGAAAGGTAGGTGGAACCTGGACCAGTCGTAGAGGAAATATAAAAATCCGAACGAACAAACTATTTGTGTCGAGGTGGACTACAAATTTGGCGAAGTTGTAGATCGGGTCGAATTCGAAGTAGAGTACAAGTGTGGACAAGAACAATGGATAGAGGGAAAATATTGCGACGTTTATGTTCAAAAAAATTCCGAGCAGATCAATCTTGTTGTGAAATGCTGAAAAAATAAAAGACTCATTTTCAAAAAATGTTTCTATATTCAAAAAACATTTAATATAAACATGGGAAAAAATAGTCAGTCATTATTACTTTATTCAAAATTAGAACACAAGTATTAATTCATTACTCATTTTTATTCGTTTTATTTCTCCCAAATTCGCATTATTTGGTTAGATTTTTAGATGAAAAATGAATAGAGAATAGGATAGCTCATTCGTTCTTCATGAGCAAGTGAATAAATATTCATTCATTCAAATATTTTGAAAAAAAATTAATCACCAATTATTCACGAAGTTATTGGGTAACGAATGAACAATTAAGTCATTTGTTTTGAATAACTGAAGGTGAACAGGTAGATATGCTTAGGTATGACTTGAACATCCTTAACCTAAATAATTTAAATTTGGGGTCATCCATATAAATATTACGTCATCAATTTTAACATAGTAAAGATAGGAAGGCCTAAACCACCCACTCACTAATATGATGACATAATATTTCGACGTTCTCTTTGATGCAAAGAAATTTCACCCCTTATCTACCTGTTGGTCCAAGGTTTGAAACATGTTTCAAATAATGGAAAGCTCCCGCGAGAGGGTTTGTATGCTGATACAAAATAATTTCAACTGTCAGTCCGAGAAGGAGTAGAATCGTTAAAATGACACAAACTAACAAATTTGCCGTAGTGAAATTGTTCCGTAAATGTTTAGAAAAATAATGACAACGCCATGGACAAATATTACCGGAATTAAAATGAAAACTACAGTCATCCAAGGAACCAATAAACCTGGTGACTTGGTGGGGACGAGTTTTTGACTGATTTTGTCCCAGTGAAGAGGACATTTCCAAAGGTAGTGAAATGCAGTTGCGAAATTTTGCAAAGATTTCCATACCAATGGGGTCGCCATGTCACAAATGTTATTGTGTGTAAGTAATAAATATTTTCTTCTTTGCAACTGATTTGGTAGAATTTAAAGGAAACATACAAAAGTTACATTTTTGCCGAAATCGATATCATGATGAATCGACTTGTTGTTTATCTAGCTACTTAAATTACTTTTGCATACGTAAAAACGGGATACATGACATTATTGACTGTACTATCCAATAAGATTGGGAGACGTTGTGATACCATGCACGCTGTAACCAGAATATTTAGGTAGAGTGAGTTACTCCGAGATAACATGGCCAGAATTGAACGAAGAAAATGGATAATCGATACGGCGTTAAAACTTTTCCGTGGTGGAAAATTTAAGGAAAATTATTAAAAATTTAACTTAAAAATTTAAGCCGAAAAATTAATCAAAAGCATGTACTTCATTAATTCCTTGGAGTTGGAACAGTTAAATTTAGTCCCAATTTACCCCAGCCAAACCATATCAGGGTTTTCTCTAACCTTAAACGAGGAAATCTTTCTACATAAATACCCAACTCTATGAGAGTAACATTTATGTATGGTCGATACTGAAATATGTACAATCAAATAAAATACTTAGCCAGAATATAAACATGTAAATATGCGTTTATCTGGAAAAATACTTTAAGAAAAGTTAGCTTTATGTCAAACCTGTATCAGATATTCATATTTCAAAGTTAGATAGATACTACTTACATTTAATTTTTACGGTCCGCAATTCAAGTCGGGCTTACATATGTGTGTATATGCCCTTCATCATGCATATTTGCAATTATAAGTAAATCGATTGAAGGTTTATTTATAACAACTTGTACGAACATAAATCCTTAACAAAAGTATTCATTTGTATCTAGAAGTTAATTGTTTTGAAGTAAAAAAAATTACATTCTCCAATCGAGGAATAATTATTTAATTTGGAAAGTCAAAATATTTCGCAAACTTCAACTGCATATGTTATTGGGAAACCTGCGTTCAAGTTCGACACAGTAGCCAAATATTAATCTAAATTATTTATCACGTTAACGTTACTCTAGATTTAGTACAGTTTCCTTCATTTTATCGCTAAGAGTGAATTTACTTTTCAAAATGGTCAACTTATCTATGAGGATGTAAATATGTATATCTAACCAATAAGTCACAATTATAATGACATACTATTCGTTTTAGACTTTCCATCCACCCAAAAGAGCTTTGGATCAAGCAAGTCCGACGTCGAAAAAAGGCGTCCAGGCACAACGTCCAAAAATTATGTTAGCCGAATTATCCTATTATTTAACTCCAGTTTATTTTATTTTGGCGTTCAAATTATTAAATTCGTGTCAAGAATTTTGGTAATTGAATGACTTCTACGTCAAAATAAAATAAGCTGGAGTTAAATAAAAGGATAATTCGGCTAACATAATTTTTGGACGTCGTGCCTGGACGCCTCTTTTCGACGTCGGACTTGCTTGATCCAAAGCTCTTTTGGGTGGATGGAAAGTCTAAAACAAGGAGTACTCAATGTAGTTGGTCACACATACGTACATACATACGTATCTGTCCAAGTTCATTATCATTTAAACAAAAATAATTCAATACTTGCATGTACGCATTAATGGATGAGTAAACAAAATCGCCAAAACTTTAGGTACACTAAATCGTAATAAAGCACACCTAATCCACACAGCCTGGTTTGTCTGACATGCTACAGATTTACTTAATTGCATCAGGATATGTACATTGGACCGGTCTTTTAACCCCAGTTTATCCATTATTTCTACAACAAACAAACATACATGATTCAATTAATTACTTACCTGTTTATTTATTACTCAACACCTTAACACACAATCAGTACCTAACGTCTCCCGTAATTAATCTCGCTTTATCTTCATACACAAGTCACGTATGCATGTTGTGGACAATGATGAATCAAACTGTGCGTACCTCACTCATGCCCACTTGAACTGGACAAAAGATCCGTAAACGTATTTATTTATGCATGGTAAAAGTGAAGCAATGCGAAAAATACATATGCGAAAATAATCTGCATGGATTAGGATCATACGATACACTGTGTGAGTCACTCGAGTAACAAGTTAAGTTATGAATCTCAATTTTGCGTCACAATTAGTTCGTCACGTCACATCCCGTGTTTTTTCCATTTTGTAATTGACAAGTAAGTTAAGCAGACTTTACACTTATCTATTTACAGAAGGATTAGTTATTTTCATTGTTATCCGGGTTGTGGAGGAGGAATATAAAGCAGACTGAGAAATCGGTCCTGATCATACCCAAGTTTTCCATCGGCTAAATAAGTCGTCTCATAAATTTGCAAATTTCTGAATAATTATTTAAAATGGAAACATTTACAAAAATTTTAATTTTGGGACTTTTCTGTTTCAGTATTTTTTTGAGAAACGTTTCATCAACTACGCAGAACGTAATCCCGCCCGAAATGAAGGCACAAATTGATCAGTTAATTCTAGAAGTAATGGACAAAGAGAAAATTCCCGCGCAATCCCTATCCATCGTAAAGCGGGATGGAAGTTTATTATACAATACGGGGTATGTTTAGACATAACTGTTATCATTCCTTGACCTAATATATGTAGGACGAGCAAATTATTTACTCATTCGTTATTCATAAAATTCAGGAATAATGAGTGAATAATTTTTTCAACATTTTTGAGTGAATATTTGTTCATTTCGTATTACTGGAGAATTAATGAATATTTTTTTTAATTGAATGAATTTTGAATGAGCACAATTTTTGAACAGGTACGGTGACCGTGACGTCGAGCATAAGTTACCCGCCGGTCCGGAAACGTTATTCGCGATTGGTTCTGCGACCAAATCTTTCACGGCTGTACTTGTGGCGAAAACACTGCATGAGATTTACCCCTCGTTGGGGAAGAAGGTGCTCGACGTGCCAATCCGGGAGTTAGCGCCGGGGTATAATTTTACCTTGGGGGACAGATTCAGGTCGGAGAGGGTGACGTTCAAGGATATCTTGGCGCACAGGGTGTGCATCAAGGAGGAAATTTCGGGCCTCTTTTCCCAAGCTTTCAATGGGACAGAGGACATGGTGAAGTAAGTTATTTCATTTAATGAGCGGGGTTAATTGAAAAGGTTGACTAGCAGAGCGGGAAATTAAAACATAAATTTTTTTCTCAGTCGATTTCGTTACGCTCCAGAGGAATGTAACTTCCGGTCAGATTTTTCCTACAATAATGGACTCATCGGAATGGCGGGACATATTTTGGGGCACATCGCGAACAGGACTTATGCAGATTTGGTATGAATTTAGGAAATTTGGATACACTTTTTTATTTCAAAATTTTAAGTTTTTCCTTATTTATTTTGTAGCTGAGCGAATTCGTGGGTCAACTTGGAATGACGAGGACTACGGTCATTAAGATGAGTGACGATCACGACAATATGATGCAACGCGCCATTCCATACATTTGGAAAGGGGGAGAATTTCTCAGGGGCAATTCGGAATTGTTGAAGTGAGTGTAAAGGATTTACACAGTTTTTTTAGAAATTTTGAAATTATTTTAAAAGTTGGATTTTACAAATAATTTTAAGGTCTATCGCACCCATTCCGAGTGGCGGTGGAATTTTAAGTAGTGCCAACGACATGGCAAAATATATGCTTTTTCACTTGAACAAGGGCAAAGTTGGAGATGTCCAAGTCGTTCCCACCGTAAGTTAACACAATTTAACAAAAAATTAAAATTTCGGAATACAAACATCTTTATCCGTAAATTTTCAGGAAGTCATGGGCTGGCTGACAACACCGGTGAGCACGATTTACTCCGGTTTCCCGAGAAATGTTGAAGATCCCGACGCAATAATGAGGCTCAGTGTGGCGTACGGTCTCTGCATGTACATGGGGAATTATGACGGTAAATAATTTTGATTGACAAATTTTGAATCTCCCGCACTGCCCTTAAAAATAATCATGCATTTTTGAAAATGGGTCACCCAAAAATCAAAAGGGTAACATTATTTTTAAGAGTGTAATTTGAATTAACAGGTTGGGAGCGGACCGGACACGGAGGACATATTCCACCCTTTATTTCTTCATTTTACATGTACCCAAACTTGGGCTTGGGCATATTCACGTCAAGAAGTGGGTCCGCACGACTTGTAGATCCTGAAGGCATGTCGAACGCTATTTTTCATATTATTATGGGTAAATTGCATACTTTCAAATTTAAGTGGTTAAGTAAAATAAGAAATATTTAGTCAATTAACAAGCTACATAAATAATATTTCTTTGAAGGTTCCCCCCACAAAGTAAAGCGAGCTCTTGCTGACGCCTCTTATTCCGTTAATGACACAAATCTCGACTTGCCCTATGTGACACATAACCAGCGCGAACTTGAAAAGTCGTCCGATAAGGAAAATCAGAACGTAGAAATCTACATGACCCCAGAGGAAGCAGTGGGTACTTATGGGAGTGGATTTAACGGTAATTAATTAAATTTCAATTTCAGTAACTACTTGAAGAATTAGCATAACTACTTGTCTCACGTTTTCAAAAAATAAGTGCAAAAATTTAGTGCTACATTTTTCGCCTAATAAATTGATGGCATTAAATTTGCATACCACGTGGTGACAGCTTTTCTACTCACGCGTCACAATTTTGCCACGAAATTTCTAACGTTTTGTCTCACATTTCGTTTTACAGGCGAGATGAACGTCACCTTCCGAACAAATGCGGAAGGAGTCCCTCAACTTTACTGGCAGTATGGCCGATCCGCCGAGGGTTGGCTGGTCCAAGTGGCGCCAAACACGTTCATGCTGTCCAAGTGGGGTTCCGACCTTTGGATGGTTTACTGGTCCTACGGCATCGGATATGGTGGCATCTCCCTTAGATTTTTGGACATCGATACTCTCGAATACCTCGAGCTTGGAGAAAAATCGTCGAACGATTTTAAACGTGGGGAGAAACTAGAAGATTTACCGGTTACTCCGTGGTTGCCGGATAGTTGCTAAGTTTTACATTTAACGATTAGCATTAATAATTTGACTGTGATTTATAACTATGTAATACTTTTACCTTGTTTTTGACTTGTAATTAAAGTTTCATATAACTACATACTTTACTTGATAAAGGCTTATATTTTTATTAATCTATGTTTAGAAATTTCTACGTATTTATTTAATGGTGGGCTGATGCGACGCTATAACGGTGACAAGTCCTCGCTGGCCGGTCATATCACATCCGGTGGTAAAATTTCTTAGGGTGTAGTAACAAATTAATCTCTGCATCATTTCTCCTCTTGTGTCGCGAACAGTGTGTAATTTCAGACCCAACAACTTACAATCTCCAGCGTTTGATCGGCTTTTGTATATATTGATATTAGACGAGATCAATCAAGCAGATCAAATCTATCAAGTTTCTAATTTCCGTTGAACCGATTAACGTATTTGTAATGCAGATACAGTACCCAAGTTTTGTTACGGAGTGTGCAACAACATAATTTAGGACAGAAATCCACCTTTCATACATATGCAAATTGGAGTAGAGAATATACCATACACAAGTAAAAAGTGATTGTGTGATGATACAGTTGAAAAGAAAAGTTATTTCCAAACTTGGTCCAATGTGTCCTTTTGTGTAAATTCATGCGTATTAAGAGACAGAGAGTTAGAGAGTAAATCTACTTTCTCCTCTTTTCTTCTTTCATTTTGACTTTTTTTCTTTTCAAATCTGAAGTTTGTGCAGGTATGTAAATACAAGTGTGGTTTATGTAGAGCGTGGCGATGATATGGCAAAGTTGTCCACCATCTTTCCTGACATGTGTAGGTATGTTAGTATTTATGTATGTATATACATATTTACACTCTAAATAAAACTTATGGGAAATTTACACAAAGTTGAGTAAAAAAAAGAGGATAACACAACAATTGGGCAAAATTTAGGCAACAATTGGATAAATTTTATGTGCACACAATAGGCTAATTTTATCCAATTGTTGTGTAAAAATTGGGGTAAATTTTCCACAACTTTTATTTAGAGTGTACATACCCTACCTTTTAATGTGTGTTGCAAATTGTAAAAAAAATTCAATCTGTCTTCCACCCCCGTGCAAAAATATAATGGGACACAAATTGTGTCCCATTGTGTCACATAATCCACTCCATATGTCAAATCTACTAAAATGATATGTTCCAGTTGAGCACAATTTAAGGTATGTATGCATGAACCCCGGAGGATTTCCACCCGATGGATTTGAATTAACTTTTCAACCATACATACGTCTATTGAAAATGCATTTACTTCGTATAATAATGCAAACTTTCTCGGAAAAATTTAGATGCATACATAAATATATGAATTCTTTATTTGCTTTATGATACTTAAAATCCGAAAATACACTGTAATTTCCCATTGTACATACATATGTAATCTAGCTTTGTAAATTGCCTGAATAAAATTCAATATGGGAAAGAGCCCTCCACCAAATGTACGAACCAATGCGTATATTCACACATACAGACAGACATATGTAGCTGAGGGCAAGTTCATAATTTACTTATATATGTAGATACGTGCTCCAACCATGGGACGTGAGGTGGTCTAAGTCAGAATTCCTTGTCCTCAAATTATGGGCGTGGAAGGGGTGGAGGAGGAGGGCAAATAAATAATATGTAATTCACTCTTAAAAATAATGTCACTCTTTCGAAAAGAAAATGAGTCCGACTTCATTACTAAGAAGATAGGTAATTAAACTAAAATTTACACTATATCCAGCGTAACGTTAACTTGATCAAGATTAAAGTAGTCTGGATTTATGGAGTACATACGTAGCTTACTAAATTTAGAGTGTATTTACTTTTCAAAAGGGTAACATTATTTTTAAGAGTGTTCACTCCAACTTTCATTAGCGATCCCCACCTATATTGCTTCGCGTTTCACTCCTTAATACCTCCTTTCCCTTCATCCATCCATCCTTAATTCTCTTAATTGCACTTTGACAAATCATTAACAACATTTGCACGTCTGTATCTATCTCCCCAATTACGGGATGTTTGCACTAATGGTCATAACAACTTCGTCTTCCTGTCCGACACCTTCATCCTCACTTATTGAAAGTCGGGCAGCACTCTTTTTCACCTTCAACTCAATCTCAGAACCCACAGGTGAAGGTGAAGAGAGTGGAACCGTTGTGTCACCCGCTCTCGTATTTCCGCCACCATGCTTCTCTCCCATTTCCGAACTTTTGTTCCCATTGTTCCTAAGTTTCCCGGCATCTGTCAAGTAAATTACGACCGGGAGAACAAGGACGTAGATGAAGAAGGAAATCGCGAGAAAGTAGAAGAACACGGTGTTGTCGTGATCCACCTCCAACGTGTCGACTTTCTCCTGCACGAAGGAGTCGTATCTCTGTTGGAGCGTGGTGTTCTTGTAGAAGGAAGAACCCAACCCGAATGGGACCCAGATTAGGATGAAAGTTATACTGTTCACGTACACGAAACGGACACGTCTCGCGCGTCGGTGGAGTTTTGTCCCGACCGATTTCTAAGAAGGGGAGAGAAAATTATTAAAAAGTTAAAGGAGTTATGGGGTCAGTTACTGTTAAGGTGCTGGGGGCATACCTTGCAGATGAAGAATAGTTTTAGTTTGGAGCGTAATTTGTACAATTCTAGAGATGGGAAAGAGTGATATTATTTTATTTACTTAAAAGAAGTGTGTGGAGTTAAATGGGATTAAGGTTTTGTAAAAATTTTACGAGAACCTAAATAACGCCCAAAGCTAGTGCTTGAGAGGTTTGCTAAAAAATCAAAAATCAAATTCTCCCGAAAGCCTTGCGAAACCCAAGCACGAAATCCAATGTTTGTTGTGCGTTAAGGTTTTTGGGGGTTCATGGTGTTTATTATGTATAAACTAAAAAAAAACCAAAAACACCATTGCATGAAAACCCCAGACACAGCAACCCACGAAATCCCCAAAAGCATAAAACTACTAAAAATACCAAAACACAAAAATCCCAAAAACACCAAAACCCCCAAAACACTAACCCACAAAAACTCAGATTAGCGTACCCTACTCACTCTTCATCACTTTTACTCTGTACTTACCATAGAGCATGTACACAGGTACGGCCACGTGGCAGATTAACGATCTAATAAATTCGTACACAATTCCCACCGCGTATCTCTCCAGCGGAGGTGTCTACAGAAAATAATTGATTCCTTTACAAAGTTTACTACTTAATACCCATCTCCCACATTTCCCCCATTCATCACATCCATACACACGTACCTTAATACAGACTGAATGGACCTCTCCATCCTGATGAGTATGAGTGACCACAATCGTGGCAAAAATGGACGGAATTCCCCCGAGGAAGGAGAAAATCCAGATGCACCCAATCAATCGGGCGATGAGTAATTTCCCCGCAAAATTGTGCTGCATGGAACGCACCCGTTCGTAACTAATGCCCAGGACGGAGAGGGGAATCAGGTTGATCACCGTGTCTGGAATGGGTAATGAGGAGCACAAAATGGTAAATATGTTACATAATTTGTGTCACTTTTAGATATCTACTTATTTTATGCATGCAAAAGTTCGTGAACTCCATGCATAATTTTGTCGTGTAAATTTTGAAATATTGCGTAATGTACATATGTTTTAATACTTTTTTTCTGGTGGGAACAATGACGTGAGGAGAATAAGAAGATTCACCAAATTGGACTGCACACTCACAATCCGGTCTCCCAGCGTATGCTGTCAGATTTTGGTCAAATTAGCGTTAATCGATCAGAAGTTTAATTAATATGAAATCTGAAAGCGACACGATATCCAAAAGGTCACACTTTGGGAAGATATTTGCATTTGAAGAGGAGATAAGGCACCATATAGTTGACTAATTTTGCACTTTCCATATCTATTTATTAGTGACTTTCTCCTTTCTTTCGTAACTTATTTCAGTCTGGAAGCAAATTTGTTACCAATGTGATAACAAATGAAACCATGGGTACAAAAATACGCCAGACTGGGGACATATTTATTTATAGCGAGCCGGTAGAAAATTTATTTCTGTGGGGGTAGAGTTCATGCATCACTTTATAACCGATTTTTTTAGTTTATTAAAAATAATAAATAATACGTAATTAGTTCTATATTTGACACCTTTTGATCATTTTTTCCGATTTTTTTTTCTATTTACTCCGCAATAAGTATGAGATAATAAACCATACATATGTCGCCTTAACCAGTGTTGGGATTTGATCTGCCCGTATTGCTCGTTCGGTCAAAGGAAGGATGAGATTCTTTATATAGTTTTCTCATCAAAAACGTTACATATTCTGCACTGGATGAATGAACTCTTTCATACATAATTGGGAAGAATGAGGGTTGACGGGTCCGTCTGGTGGTTGCGTAATTTGTATCAACATTTTTTTGATATCTTTCACTCAGGCGAGAAATGTATGTGCGCACTCTAATAAATAATTTGGAGAACATTGTCACCCATGTATGTAGGTACTATTTATTGGGCTTAATTTTTGGGTAATGATTAATGAGACGTTTTGTTACCAATGGAAAATAAAAAAAACTCGTGTACCAAAAGCACGTGACATCGGTCTTAAAAATTTTAAAACTTTGATTAAAAAAATGATCCGATAAAATTGCTCAATATTTTAAATGACGACGTCACACGAGTTTGTAACTTAGGATTAGTTTCCGGTTGTGACAAAACGTCTCCTGTATCATTACCCAAAAATAGGGAAAGTGCATCGAAGATTTATGTATCTCCAACTTATTTAGAGTGTACCAAATAAATGCATACAAATAGAAAAGAATTTGTTATGTAATATATTACAAATTCTTTGCGCTTTTCTCCTTCAATCCTACATTCTCTGTACAAGGTTGAAATAAATATTTAATTATTTATGTTAAACCTCGAAAACTCATCTTATGTCGAGATACATACATATAAATGTCTGTCCTGGAATTTCTTAGAAAATCTCAGGGAATTACTGACACAAAGAAAGCTGAGTTCGTAGGATTGATGCTGTCTTAATATTTTACATATTATTAATATTATACGGGGATATGTACTTGTACTTATAGCACTCTTAAAAATAAAGGCACCCACTTGACAAGTAAATGTACTTTGAATTAAATAAGTTCCACTATTCCTAAATCCAGAGTAGCGTGAATTTAATCAAGAGTTATGTAGGCTTACTCTAGATTTAGCTTAGTTTACTTCCTGTAGATTTTAGAGAACATTTAGTTTTCAAAAGGGCCACATTATTTTTAAGAGTAAGGTGACATGCACATAATTCACAGATTTTTTCCCACCCCGAAGAAAAAAGACTTACTTCTCGTATACGACAAAATATAGCAGATCCACAACGTATTAAACAATTTATCCACTCTGCACAAATAAACCCCGCCACAAATCGCGGCCAGATTGGCGACAAAGGCCAAGTTGGCAATCATCCATTTCAAGGGGGGAATCCTCCTCTGGTTCAGGATGCTGAAGAGGATATAACTATTCGTTGCTATGGCGGCACTCGAGACGATGACGACGCCAAGGATGAAAATTGGGGAAAGCATGTCAATCACTGGTTCGGAGAAAGTTCACGCGTAACAGGAAATAAATCAGTACATAATTTATCAAAATTCACACCTAAGTAGGTACACTTGACGCTGAACTTTCTCCACTTTCTCCACATAATTGCATCACCGAAAATTTGTAAAGCATGTCAATCACATTTTAGGGAAAAGTACGAAAGAAATAACGGAATAGTACATAATTTATTAAAATTCACACCTGCACTAACAAAGCACACGTCAGATATGTTTCTCACGGATTTTCTTATAACCAGTTTTAAAACGTGAAGTAACAGCACACACGGTTAATCTAACACTTGACCATTTCTGCAAAATTGGCGGAATTAGGAAGCTTATACAGTAAGTTGGCATAAATGCGAATTTTTACGATCATAAAGCTAGGAGATGAATGCCTCATAAATAATTTCGCGTGGTGAAAATTCCAGTTTTTGCTAACTTAAAACCCTCCTGAAATTCGCGAATTTTGCACAAGTGCTCAAATGTATCACCAGCTATTACTTGTCTCAAGTTACTCAGTTTAGTATTACTGGTTCTTAAAATATCCTTGAGAAACATGTCTGACATTTACATCGTAGACAGTGACCTTTCTCCACTTTCACCGCAGAGTTGAATCACTCAAAATTGTGGAAAACATGTCAATCACTTTTCCAGAGAAGGATACATACCAATACGATATAAATCAATACATAATTTATCAAGAAACAATGAGCACTGAACTTTCACCACTTTCACCACCCAATTGCATCACTGGCTGAACATCACATGCTGAAAATAACTTGAAGAGTGACAGACTGGAATAAAAGTGGGTGCACTCTAAATAAAAATATATAAAATTTAGTCATGATTTCGTAAAAAAAGGGGCCACAAGGTAAAATTTATCCAATCACGGTGCAAAATTCGTTCAAAATTGTGCAAAATTTGCCCAGCGGTTGGATAAATGTTACAAATTTTTGGCTAAATTTTACAAATTTTTTGATAAATCATAAAATTTTTTCATAAGTTCACAAATTTTGTACAAATTTCACAAATTTTTTGATAAATCATAAAAATTTTTCATAAATTCACAAATTTTGTACAAATTTTAAAATTTTTTTGATAAATCTTACAAACTTTTGGTCAAATTGTACAAATTCTTAGATATATTTTATACATTTTTGGACAAATTTTACAAATTTTTGCATTAACTGTACCAATTCTTAGATACATTTACAAATTTTGGACAAATTTCACACACTTTTGGATAAATTGTAAAAATTTTTGGATAAATTTTACAATTTTTTGGATTTTTTTATCGTTTGGTTGTGCCATCCTCTGTTACTTAACCATGACTAAATTTTACTTATTTTTATTTAGAGTGTGTCCAACAAAAAGAGCAGCACGTACGTATCCCTCCACTAATGGAAACTGGATTAGATACACCCAAAATAAAATGGGATTTATGTGTTCTGCCGGAAGAGTAAATAGCCGTGCAATCCCACTTTCACCACGAAAAATAAGAGGAAGTATTCCGATTTAAGTAGAGTAGTTAAGTCGAAGTGGAAATTGATCTCGTACAATTTGGTGAACATTCTGCTCCGTATAATTTACCACAATTGATCACCACTAAAAGATTTCAGGTACAGGATCACTTTGTAAATACAATAAGGTATCGTGGCACGGCATAAATTAGGCTGAACGATGAAGTGAAAGCGAGTAAACAACCTGCTCGGGTCCACTTTCTCTGGGAAACTGAGACAAAATCTGGGTAAGGAGTTCATTTTTGGGGAAAGAAATCACAGACCAGAGAGAAAGTAGAGTCGGTTTTGCCTCATTGGGTGTCCATGAGATGCAAGCAGTTCATTTTGAGAGGAAATTACAGATTGTAATGTGGAGGAGAAAGTGAGTGCTGTTTTGCGATTTGCGAATGGGATGAAATATTGGCGTAGAAATTCTGAGAAAAACCATCAATGTTAATGAATATCTACATGCGTACATATGTATGTAAGCTCCTCTCTCCTGATACATATCATGCAATGTTAATTTCCTACATATGTACATATGTCTTAAGAGTGTTTCTAGATTATATTTACGTACGAAATGATAAATTTCATGGGTATTTTACGAACAATTTTCTGGGTAAATTGGATCATTCAGTTGCAGTCTATCCATATAATTTATCACTACGTTTGTATATACACTCTTAGAAATCAGGCAGAGTGAGGCAGGGATTTATTTCTCGGTATTAGAATTCCTTGAGTTTCGTATTAAAATTATATGCACACGTAAAAATTTGATACCGATATCAGATATGGGAAAACTTTAATACCGAGCTATTAGTACATATACACGGTTAAAAATCCGGCAGAGTCACATAGATACTCCGTGCTGGTAGTGATTTGGTAATAATTTTCTACCGGATTTTTAGTAAATTGTTCCTGAGTGGTAAGTTTTTAATTACCACAAAATTACTGAACGGTAATTCCCGTTAATACAAGTGCCGGTAGAGTCACATAGGTACTCCGGTCGGTAATGATTTAATACCAGTTTTCTAAGACTGTAGTTACAAATAAAACTTACCACTTACGTATCAATACATCTTCGGTTAAGCAATATACATGAGCATCGCTTTGGTATTATTTTGGTACAGAATTTATAAGAGTGTAAGCATAATCTTTAAGCACGTGCTTTATGTAATAGGCACGAGTATATTGTACAAATAGACAAGTAATCTCCTGACTGAATCTGTTGGGTCCAACGGTGCCAAATAATCCATCACTTGGATTTGGGTAAAGTGGGGATTTTTTCTTCTCTTATCTAACTACACGACAATCTCATCTTGCTGGGAAGTGAGCTGTGCCAAATTGGAATGGCAAGATATCCCATGGGCAATTTTTTTCGGAATTGCAGCAAAATTTGGATTGACAAGTGAATAGAATTAAATTAAACTTTGGCATCCCTGTGTTACCCAAGAGCTTTGGCTAAATTTAAAGAAATGTTTACGAATTAATGAGGTAATTCACACGAACTTGAAAAATTTGTATGGTTTGTAAAATAAGTTTACAAGCCTTTACAATATAAAAAGACGACCTTGGTTTGGGTAAGTTTACAAAAATTTGGGGTAGATTTTCCGTCAAATATTTGTAAAATTGTACACAGTTTTTTTGGTTTATGAATTTTACAGATTTTACAGGCCTGGTGAAGTGTGTCAATATTTTATTAAAAAATTTATTTTGTTAACAAACAGCCCCTCTACGTCACCATTTTCACGAAAAAGGGAAAAATAGACAAGAATCAGCTTAGTTATCGGGAAAAAACTACATAATCGTATCAACTCTAAAAATTGTGCTTAATAGGACTCGCTATTCGTCAATCTGTTTGGTGTGCTGTTCCTTTTTTACTGAACCCTTTCTTCGGTATTATTCGTCCCACCACAGCATCTTTTTATCTGCAGGTATCTAAAAGGCAAAAAACGCTACTTGAACGGTATCAATAAGGAATTTCATAAAGGATTCAGTTACCCTTGAGGAAGCCATTAGTGAAAAGAGGGATCCAACGAAAACCGGGGTTTCCTGTGTATTCGTCACTTACGTATTAGAAATATGTATGTATGTACAAGGAGGAAAAAATACAATTATATCCTCCACGTTCTCTACTAATCAATGTATACGGATCCCTCACTAATCGAGAGGTGCACTCTAAATAAAACCTACAGAAAATTTACACCGAAAAAATGTATAAAACGTGGATGATACAACGATTTGGCAAAGTTTACAAAACGGTGATTTTTGTTCAACGGTTGGATAAATTTCACCGAATTGATGTGCCACCCTATTTTGTTTACTCACCGTTGGGTAAATTTTCCACAACTTTTATTTATGTAGAGTGCGTAGTTAAGCATGTGAATTTCGCTGGACTGACATAAATAGCGAAGTGGACTATGCATCGGTTTCATGGGGAAAGTGGACAACGAAATCGTGTTTTTTTGCGACATACTCATTTTTATGCATGTATGATAGCTTCAAATTTGCGTAATTTTGTGCACATAAATCATTCGTAATATTGGAGTGATCCAATCATTACCGGTTTTCTAGATACAGGCCAAAGGGTGCGAATTTTGAGAAATGTAATTTTTGACCATCAATCGTGTAAATTAAATAGGTCAAATATCTCTGGTCAATTATAGTGTTTATGAGACCGTCAAGATAAGAAATGTCATCATAATTTAGGAGAGAATATGTAAATATGTATGTATGTGCGCATGTCCTTATGAGTCATAAGTACCCTCATCCCTGTAGAACAATGAAAATGCCTGCAAGATTCCGTCATTTCAGACGAATGACGTGACCGGAAATTCATTTTTTATTCATTATTGTTCACTAGCATAACCTGTAAAATGAATGAACGTGAACAGGTGTGCACCCTGAAATAACATACTCTTAGGAAACTGGTATTATGTATGTATGTACAATATTACTGGTCGGAGTAGATTCATTGTCCTACCAGCACGACAGTAAGGATCAGTACGGCTTATTTATGTTGTGGTAATGAAAACTGTACCAGTCGGGTAAAAAGTTATTACCAAATGAATACAAGCAGCACGGAGTGTGACCCCACCAGATCGTTAACAGTACAAATATCACGTAATCACATGTTTTAGAATAAGAGGGACGTGTACATATGTAATCTTTGGGCGATGTTTGGTGTGATTTCTGATTCATGAACAATGTTAATGGCCCATAAATGTGCATAATAATTGAAAAAAACTACGCAGTTCGGTAAACCTTTGGCCGGATTAAGCGATTAAAGTAGCATCGCCATGGCAATAACCCTTGTTAGAAGATAAGATAGCTTAATATTGAATAGTAGCATTTGCATACGTGTCATTGTGCTTTTTCCACTTGTCAGGACTCCTTTTCACTGCATACTTGTTTAATTTTTAGTTACGGAAAAAACGTTTAGCCACATATAAACTCTTACATATATCCTGCCCTAAAATTATACCAAGCGGTAATCACACCCTAAATAAAAATAAGTAAAATTACTCAAACTTGTGCAAAATTTGTCCAACGAGTGGCTAAGCCTAAGCATTTTATTGGATAAGGTTTATACAACCTTGACTAAATTGTACCTATTTTTTATTTTGAGTGTATGTATGTATGACTCCATCTGCTAAAGTGGTGCTGATAAGAAACACTGAAGCAACACCTTAGTCTTAAAGTTTTGCCGTATCGGATGCAAATTTTTACGGACCTATTTTGGCATACAATTTAATTCCACGCGGTAGCAACTTTAATACCGAGAAATCAATACATACCTGTACTCTAAAAAAATAATTAAAATTTATTTACTTAAGGTTGAATAAAAAAAGAGGATGACACAACCAAAAGGTAAAAATTAGCCAACGATATGCAAAATTTACCCACCCGTTGGACAAATTTTGCACAATTGTTGGCTAATTTTTACCTTTTGGTTGTGTCATCCTCTTTTTTTTTTTTTTTTACTTAACCTTGAGTAAATTTTACTTATTTTTATGTATTTGGAGTGTGCTTGGCTATACCAGGTTTCTAACTGTGTGAATTTAATGATCGAAGTTGAGAGAAATGGCGCCCAGGTGTCGAGTAATTCTTGTCATTGATGCTGACTCTTTTGAAGTTCAAGTCTACCAGAAAAAAGAAGAATGGAAGTATACGATTGGAGGTCCGTGTGTCGTAGCGATAAATGATAATCCTACTGGAAGGTATTGTACATACTAATAATAATAAGTTAAACAAGAATAATGTGGATTTAACCGTACCTGTTCACATTCATTCATCTAATAGAGAAAGAAAGAATGAATTATTCATAAATTCTTCAAAAAAGTCATGAATCATGAGGCTACAATTTTTCAAAATTATCGAATAAAGGAATATTGAATAAATATTTACTAATTTCAGATTCAGGTAGAATGAATGAATATTTTTATTCACTATTTATGTTTCACGATAATCTAGTGAAAGGCGCAAGCATAATGCTTACTACACGGAATATATTGGGAAATCCGTATAATAAGACGATTTTATAATTTAAATAAACCTACAGTGCAGACTTGATATAGCCCGAGTCAGGCGTAAATCTGTTTTCAAATTTAAATTTTTAAAACTTCGAGTTCTTCAATTACGAGCCTTTAGTAACCCATATACCAAAATTTATCCACTATCACTAAATTTTTGTTAGTGCACACATTTTTTTCCCTTGGTCACCAGTATCGACTGTGACCATAACTTTGACACGAGTGTATATTTTTTCCTTGAGAAGGAGGAGTACCGTTTATTAGATGGGATGGGGTTTGCACAAAAAGTCGTGAAATTTATTGAACAAGAGGCAAAAATTATTTCTTCAGGTGAGTATCTAAGAGACAAAGAAATGTTTTTTTTTATTATGACTTAAAAATAATATTACCCTTTATGAAACGTATACACAATCTACATATGTAAAGTAAACTATTCTATGTCCAGGGTAGCGTTTTCTTGATAAAGAGTAGTTTTATCTGGATTTATAAATAGTTGTGTTTTTAAAATTATGCATTTTTTTACATCCAGAGCTTATGGCGGGCAGGATGTCCTTTTAAATATCAAACCCTAGTATAAATGGTGTTGATTTAATTCGTCCCGGTGATAGAACCTTTGGATCAAACCATATTTAAGGATAACTTGCAAACAAGTTGAATACATTTTTTTAGGTTTTACATGCGTAGAATGAAGACAAGTCTTAATCATAAAATTCACCAGAAGAACCCCAGTTTTCACCGGTTTTTACTTTCAAATTTGGAAATATATACATATTTATGAAAAATCGTCACGAATTGAATCAACACCCATTAGGTTGTTTAGTGTATTTAGTTCTTAAAGGGGTAATATTAATTTTAAGAGTGTATGTACATATGTAATTAAATTATTTTTAGCGGGGATTAGCTCAAACAAGTTACTGGCCAAGGTTGCATGCAAATATAATAAACCAAACGGAATCACCGCCTTGACCAGGCAAGGATTTAATAGAATCTGTTCAGACATTGATTTCCGTGATCTGACCGGATTAGGGGGCGATTTGGGTGAAAAAGTGGAAAATCTGTTTGGACAATTGTACTTAAACCAGCTGAGGAACATGTTGAATTTTACGTGGAATTTAAACTGTCTCGCTAATTGGGTGGGATATGAGGATACAGAATATGTTAGAGAGATTGCGAATGGAATATGTTACCAGGAAGTTGAAGATAAATTGATGTTTGATGGGTTGAATTGTGGAAGGGGATATTTGAGTGGGTGCAACACTATTTAATGTTAGACTCGATGAATCATCGCTAAAATGGTCAAAGATTACACATTTTAATTCATTTCTAGGCTGTGGAAATTTATTTAAAAATTCAGGACGATGAACTTGTACAGAAGGTCGTTGACAATTAAAAAAAATATTCGCTCCAAGTTTTTGAAGGAGGAGATCTCATGTTTAAGTAGCCTTCGTAAAAATTGGAACTTATCGATACTTCCTTACTAAACTCACCATCATTCTATCGATCAACTTAAGGAATACAAATTCGTCGTTCAGAATTTTAAAATTATTTCTACAGCCGAGAAAAACGTGCCGATTTAGGTGACGAGTCATCGAGTCCCATTTTAAACTCTGTTTCATTTCTGGTGATATCAGCGGGAAAGTCACGTGCCCATGTTAAGTAAATGGGCACGTGACTTTCTCGCTGGTATCACCAGAAATGAAACAGAGTTTAATGCGTAATAAGAAGTTTTTTACTTATTGAATCTTTATATTCCCTGTTTAAGAAATTGAAACAAAAGGGGATTTCCGATCTGAACTGAATTACTTGGCGCAAAATTTGAAGGACCGTCTCAACTTGGAAGTGAAATATAATAAACGGTTCGCAAAAAATGTTTTGGTTCAATACACTCGAAGAACTCTAGGCGGGATTTACACCGAATCCTTTAACGTGGAATTCAACCCAGTAACAGATTTTGGTTTCGATGGGGAAGGAAGCTTATAATTTGATGTGGGAGATTTCTTTCTGGATGCACGATCTGCTGTTGAAGCTCATCCAAAGTTTGAAAAACATTTGGTACACATTTTCAAAATTAACTTTAAAGTGACAGAATTTGAAGTGTTTGCAGATGTGGAGAATTTGTATTGAAAAGGGCAAATTTTATTCAATATTCAGGTGACCTGTTTGCAAATTACTTTTTAATACATTCTTTTTAATTAAGCCAATATCGAATTTGTGTGTAATGAATGACTTTGATGTGGATGATTATTCGCAAACCTATTTTTTCTAGTTATGTATAATGAATTTTAAAATATTTATTAATGTATATCTGTATTTCATGTGTAATATGTCAATCTACAAAATGAGAAAGCTGTGCGGAACAGAAACGAAATAGACCGGAAAGAATAAATAATTACATTATGCTTCATTTAAAACAGTGTAAAGAAACCTGGCATCACATAATATGTAGTCGCTTCATGTTAATTCTACTATTTATGCTGGAAATTGTCTACTCCTAAATTATGCAGCAGAAATTGACGTGTATAATTGTAATTTTCAGCATACAGTTAAAAGTGCGAGCGAAACAGCAATTTAGCGTGAAGGTTATCTTAAAACGACCAGTGGAAATTAATGTTTTCGAAATTACCTAAACATAAAATTACAACTAATATAATTTAATGTCTTAATTGTAGCATTGCTTTAACAAAACCTGTTACGCTATTAAAAAGTCAGTAATAAATTAATTGTATTTTCGGAAATGTATTTGAGTGCAAGAATTTTCAGATTTTTAGTAACATATCCATACGAACCCACCTGGATGCCCATGCATCTCATAGATTTCCACGTTTTCCGCTCAAATTTCGACAAATTTATTCTACTTGTTCGAGTGTAAATGAAGTGTTCTGCATTCTCGAGAACCCTTGCCGCCTGTGGAATCAACATGATTACAAAAAATGACGACAGCAAGGCAATAAGAGGGAGACCGATGTAAAATACCAAATCCAATTTCCCCGCCATTCTAATTGTACCATAGTACGACAAGATAACGACAGAGAGGCCAAAAAATATTAGTGGCGGGACGGAGAAAGAACAAAAATTGTGATTCGTGTACTTATTCCATAGAAACATTTTCCTGTACAGATTGATTTCTTGCAATCTTTTGGCCAAACTGGGATGAAGATTTGACTTGGTGAGATCTTGGAGAATATCTTTTGTCGAACAGGTCACCATCAATCCCACCATGAAGTAGGCATTCAGGGCTTTACAGACGTCCACCATAACAATGAAGAGCACCGAGTTTCTGACCAACAAAGTCAGTAAGAATAGAAAGATGAAGCAATCCTCCTCATTGTCGCCATTAAGAAGGGAATGTAGCGGGTCTACTTTGAAGTAAGTGATAACAACTGGTGCCGGGAATGGGAATATGTAGGTCACCAAGAGCATTAATGTGATGGCGACTTCGGCAGCGAAGTATTTGTGAGGTTGATGAGTGACTACGAGTTCTGAAATTAAGAACTGGTTCAAACTTAGATAAATATATTTCAGTAATAATGGGATTTAAAATAACTATAATAAAATATAAAATAACTAAAGAGTAATAGTTAAGAATTCGCAGTAGATTCGGAAGGAAATTCGGGACAGTCGGCAGCAGTCGTTTCGAGTATTAATCTATTGCGAATTATCGACGATTGTGCAAAATTTATTACCTGAAAAATTACCTTTTACTTCTTTCTGGAATTCAGCAATACTGTTTATAATGACCGCCGCGACTACTGGCGTGAACGAGATGACATAACTCATTGCGAGAAATGCGGGCGGAAAGAGGGTCATCAGCAAGTGTGTGTATATACGTACTACACGTATCATTTCAGATGTCGCGGTTAACTCGGTTCCTTTGGGTTTTGCGCAAATAGATTTACATAAAATTGTCAGTGATATTAGAGTATGGGTCAGGACACAAAGGGTGCTAAACTTTAGGAAATAAAGGCGATTTTTAGAAGTTTTTGGTTGAAGATACACCTGCCTACTTGGAATCGAAACATTGAAGGGGAGTAGATGTAATTTATGGTCATACACGTGGACAAATAGGTCGAAAAGTTTCCATATTCCAAGGGTAGCCATATCTGATAAGTACTGGGATGCTAGTGGACGTACTCTGCTAATTAGCTTGATAGGGTAATTATAAATTCGTGGTGTTCTAGTCATGATTTGACAATATGAGCTTCCGATATGAATTTTGCTAAATATCATGAAATGTGTTGAAACTAATCTATTATGGTGTTAAATTCAGGAATAGCACAACTCAAAACTTTGTTGGATCTCTAATTTCAAATTTCATAGGGTAGTTGTTTTATACCTCACCAAGTACACGTATTTCCTTGTCCCATTTGATGGCAACCTTTTTACAGCATGAGAAGAAATGCTCACGACAAACAAGTTCCTAGCCAGACAAATTGTAATTAGTTTAGCAAAATTGGGATTTGGCCGATGGCCTTTATATGCATTCTAGCAATAATGTTGCTGATATGCAATGAATTAAATTGAGAACATTGTAACTTTTGAGCAGGTAGCTCATTTCTCCGGTATGGAGGTCAACTTGGTTAACAACGTATTTTTAGGCAACTTACAGCCACAACTTTAAACTATATCTATTAGTATGATTTGATTGTATTTACGAACATATTACTTTTGGAATTTTAAATTCTTAGATAAGAATCTTTTGTAGAAGAATTCACGTCTGCTTATGACGCACATCGTTTAATTATTATTGTACTTATAGGGAAGAAAATTAGACTAGCAAATTGCGTTGAAATGAGACTAGTTTAAATTTAATAAAACGATAGACCGCTATAGACATTACTGGTTTCGCAACGGAAATTAATCAACTTTATGTAAATTATTTATAAAGTTCACATTTTACAAGACTGGTCTTCACAAACTCTTCTAGTATACACGCTTAGATAAATTAATGTTCCCCTTTTGGAAAGTAAAGCTAATCTAAATTTAGTATTAAGTAAACTATGCTAAATCCAAAGTAAACTAAGTTAAGTCTTTATCAACTTAACATTACTCTGGATTTAGTATGGTTTAATTAAGTTAGAATTTAAAGCGCATGTACATAGTATGTAGGAGAAAAAAAAACACTAAAAATAATGTATTACATTATTTTTAGTGTTTTTTTCTCCTTTGGCAGTACTATTTTACGTCAATCCCTCACGACAAAAGATATGTATGAACAATATTTTTTCTAGATTGAAATTAATTCCTTAATACTACAAGTTCGGTTTCCAAGAAAATGTGGACAACGAAATCGTGTATTTTCATGCTACATATTTTCATGCAGGTATTATACTTCGATTTGAATTTGTGTTATTTTGTTTATGTATGGATTGCCCCATTAGTTCTCGGACAGTTATAGATTAATTTAATTCGGTACGAATACGCACGAATAATTTGATTCTCTATATGTCCTCGTAAGTAGCAACTAATATGCTAATAATAATTGTACATCAATAATCCCACAAATCAGTTCGAACAAAATGATGCCAACCGAACAGCAGGAACTCGTAACTCGAATTTTTCACTGCCGTGAAAATCATGGTTATTTTAATAACAAAAAACTCTGGCAAAATTTTGCAAGTGAAAGCCATCCAAAATAAACTATTTAAAGTTTATTGCAAAGGTATGGAGTAAAAAAAAACGGCATCTACTAAAAGAATTCCTCGGCGCCCGGAGCTGCGGTCGACTTCCAAAGACGTAAACATTTTAAGCGCATTTATATAGAGAAGTCGTAAATTCCATTCCACACCATTGCCGCAAAACTCAAACTACGCACTCGAGGCTTAAGAAAATTAAAGTAGGACACCTAACGATAAGATCGTAAAAGAAACAGAAGGCTCTAAAGCATGTAAGTATAAAAAACCAAGACCCCAAGCCAGACTGCCGATAATTTGCAAGAAAGTCAGATCCAGATTTTTAGTTATTTGTGGTGAGTCTTATTTCCAACTCAACATATTTGATGTACCAATTGGGCAATTTTTCCATTCAAGGACTCGTATTTAAGTGAAATATGAAGAACGAACCATTTAAAAAGCAAAATTATTTACAAAATGATCGCCACTGTTACCCGTGGACGAAAATTGCCACATTTCCAAGCCCAATATATCGGAAGGAATCGTGACCTTAATTTCGTACCAGGATCATTGCATTAAGCGGCGTCTGATTCCCTTCATTTGTGGCTATAATTGAGAAGACATTCCATTTTAGGCGGATATGGCAATTTGCAAATACTGGGAAATTGTTGTAACACCCCCCGAGCCGGAAAAAGTTGATTTTGAACCTCTAAAGGAAAATGTTCACAATATTACGCAACCGAGACGAATTGATCTAATTTCGACTATATCCAAACAAGAGTATTCACGACGACTAAAAGCAAGCGAAAGTTTGGCGGGATTCGGATGAGTAATATGTCAAACCCTACAAAGTCTGATGCTAAAGTCGGGAAATCGTGTTATTGAATATCCTTGGAAAAAGCTATCAGAACTTTGTTTCAAAGAGGGGTTGGAGCAAATGTTTTTTAGCATAAATTGGTAACTATATTAACTATGTTTTCTAATTAAACTTTGGTAATCTAATATTACCCCAGTCTGAATAAATCACTAAATTCATTGTCCGAGAACTAATGGGGCAAACCATATATGCACATAAAGAATTCGTAATAATAATGGATTAGCGGTTTGAAAGTTTCAAACCGCTAAGAGAGAGATCAAAATTGGCGAATATTTTCCCGATTCTGAGGAGTTTAATTTTTGCATAGCAATGGGTAGATATGTAGGAGTGGACAATGTTCCCAAATTCGCGCCATCCAAGATCAACTATGAAGTTTAATAAAGTATAGGAAGCTACATCGTAATCGAAACACTTCAGCGAAAAGTTTGACCTTATTTCACTACGTCCAGCCATCAATCTAATAAGAATTACCTCAAACTAGTGACGAATCACTAATTGGTTTGGGATCGCTCGACCAAAATTTCTGAAGATTTTGCGATTTACCATTCAACCATTGCAAGCAGGAAATAATTGCCTTAAACATTTTCCTCAATCCGATAAAAAATCTAGTATAAGCCAATTTATTACTTTAGTTCATACATATGTGCATTTGACCTCATTTGCACAGCACCCTTTACTAAAACGTCAGTAACAAATTCATCGTAATTTCCAAAATGTATTTAAGTGCTAGAATTTTCAGATTTTTGGTAACATATCCAAACACGCCTACCTGGATGCCCAAGCATCTCACAGATTTCCACGTCTTCCGCTCAAATCTCGACAAATTTATTCCGTTCGTTCGACGGGAAATAAATTTTTCTGAATTCTCGACAACTCTTGCCGCATGTGGGATCAACATTATAACAAAAAACGATGAAAGCAAAGCAATTGCAGGGAGACCAAGGTAAAGTAAGAAACCCAATTTCCCCGCCATTCGAATTGTACCGTAGTACGACAAGATAACTACAGAGAAGCCAAAAAATATTAGTGGCGGGACGGAAAAACTGCAAAAATTCTGATTCGTGTACTTATTCCATAGAAACATTTTTGTGTACAACTTGATTTCTTGCAATCTCTTGACCAAATTGGGGCGAACATTGAATTTGACGAGATCATGCAGAATGTCTTTTGTCGAACAGGTCACCATTAGTCCTACGATGAAGAAAGCATTCGCGGCTTTGGCAACGTCCAGAATGACAATGAAGACTATAAGG